TCACATCGGGCGGCTTTCATCTCTCAATCTTCTACGGCAACATCTCTCGTGACAGCCCGACCCCGAGTCCGTAATTGAATAAATATTATTGCTAAGATTATTTTTTAAGTGCCGGGCTTGTATAAATGTTTCCGCAAGCCTACAAGCACTCCACTGACGATGACATTACGCGCGGCTGTCTGCGTGTGTGAGCGCGTGCTCGCTAACAGCACTTGCCCCAGCAGTTTGTTAAAGCAGTACAGGGGATCTTTGTCTCTGTTGTAGTTGGTTAAGCAATTTTAATAGCTTTGAAGACAGCACTCACGATAAAAATCTAAATCTGAAACTATTTGCATTTCTCCAACAGTCGTAAGTTCCCCCCCCCCCCCCAAAAAAAAAAAACGATAAAAGCATTCCACCTTTTACATTTAACACGCACACACCACGTTCGCTGGCAAAATTGTTATTTTTTTCGCTAATGCACATACACAGTGATACATTCACCAGTGCAGATCTCCAGCGATTGGCCGTTCATCTCAAACCCGAGGGCCGAGTGGAGCCCGACCAATTGTAATCGCTCAGGGGCGAGCGGCGCAATTTTTACGTAATTAAAACGGCGCAAAAAAAACCTAACACCACACGTACGCCTGCGATGCCAGCTGGGTAGGCTACGCTCAGTGGATTCGTTCCGATGCTACGTGACAAGGTGAAACACGTGTGAGCCAAGGGGCATCATGGGAAATACCAATGAGGAATACCAACGAAGCAGTGTGCCCCCCATTGCCCCAACAATGAGCGTGCACCACAGTGGATTATCTTGGTTAAGCAAAGTTACGTAAACAAAGCAGTAAATAAGTAATGGAACTGTATTTAGAAATAGTGCTGCCCTTGCAAAGTATGCTTCGTGTTAAGGCCCAGTAACAAAGATGATATTTTATGGCTCAATGGATATTATTGACCGTGGCCGGTGCAGCCAAAGGTCACAAAGTGTCCGACAATATAAATTTGGGGTTTAAAGTCCCCAGTCAACCTTCGCTCCGTGGGAGGTTCCTCTGCTGCGATTGTTTGGGACTCCCCTCCATCAGCCATCCGTGCTGTCGACTCCCTGCATCTGTTTAAGTCGAGGCTCAAGACCTTGATTCTTCTCTCGGCCTAGGACTGCCTCTTTCTCTGTATAAAATATGCCCAGCTTGTATACCTTGTTTAACAGAGCACCTTTAAATGTTTATAGTTTTTAAATGCATGAGTATGCAGAGGATGATACAAGTTGAATTGCAGAAGAGGGTGAGTAAAGTTTGATGATGTCGGAGCAAAGTTTTAGAAATGTAATCAGGAAGTAAAGGTTGTGACGAGTGGGGGACATACAGAACAGGGAATTGGAGAGGTACTCAGAGGCTGGAGACAAAACAGGATGACCATCAGCCAGATAGTGGTGATGAGACTGTAAGAGCAGATCTTAGAGGTCAGTTCAGTTGTCAACTGTGCCACATTCATTAGATCTGGCAGAAGTTAGACGAGGTGAGGTGTGAAGGTGGCACCTGTGGGAGCTGTGGTTGGTGGTGGCAATCTTTTTTGGGCCTTTAGCAGATATTATTTTTGGGCGCGTCATGTGGCTCCAAACATTGTGATGGCCAAGCCACACAGCTCAATAAAATCACAGTTGTGTAAAGTAATTTATTTAATACACAAATTACTAGTAATATTATTTACAGTGTTATGAGTCTGATTTTGGGTATCCCTATTAACATAATGCATCCAAGGTCGCTTGAGTAATTATTTCGATTATTTTTCTGCTATAAATTTCCACGTGATAAGCCATTTGTTTGAGCGACCATTTGTAGCCAGTTCGCTGCTGAAAAAGAAACTTAATAGCTCGATGGGCTTTAGCTGGTAAGATAAAAAGAAATAATTAAAAATACTTTTTTTAAAAACACGCTTTAATGAAATGTACCGTACTCATAATGGCAAAACTCCACGACTCCAGGAAGTGGCCCCGAAGCTTGCCACAACGCATGACTTACAGCCAACGTCAGTTTAGCGTGGACAATTAGAGCCAAGCCGAAACATAACATATAAAAAAGATGGTTTAAAAATACATTATATAGTATTGTCATCAGTATGACATAAGTATACCAAGTTTGCAGTCGATACCACATTGGGAAGTGGGTTAAAATTGAGTTACAAGATTTGAGGATACAACAACAACAACAACAGAGAGAGTGAGATAAATAAAAGCGTGTAAAAATGGTTTAGTTTTATTTTGATATTTTTGCAGTGATTTGTTTACCTTTCCTATAATTTTACTCCAATTATATATATTTTGTTGTTGTTTGTAACGTTCTGACCTGCCCCTACTGAACATCTGTGAAGAGCTTTATAGCTCATCGGATTTTTTGTGGGGGGCCCCACGCTTATGCTTGCTACGCTTATGCCGAGCACCACCACTGTGCGAGAGACGGGGGCGAGTGGCCTGACCCCTAGCAAGTCGTGTTATTTTAACCGGCACCGACCATTTAGCTCGCGAGACGGGTAACGTAATTCGAGCGGAGTGAAACCCTCCGGCCGTGACAAAACTTGCCCGCAGCATCGAAGGGGGGGGGGGGGGTGGGGGGAGGGGGGCTACCCGGGCACAAAACGGCGGGTTGTCGGTCGGCCGGCACTTTTGAAACAAACCCAACGATTCCTCTCCTCTGATCGCCAGTGCTGCGGGAGGTGTCACGACGTGCGGCAGCCACGGCCCATTGCTCCGTCAGCACCCTCCTTTGAAGGCATGGGGGCTTCGTGCATCGGGCGCTCTCGCCATTTCATGTGTTCTTTTTATCTTCGTTTTAAAGATAACAAATATTATTAGAATGGGGTGCAAAGCGACGACGTGATTTAATTTTTGACGGCTTAGAGGTAGAGCATGCCGGCGGTTGGTCTGATCTGGAAAGTTCAATCAAAGCGACCAACGGCTGTCTGTCAGCCACGATCGACTTATCGGTCTTGTAAGATCTACCGGGAAAAACGCTTGCTACTGGTGCAGAAGTGAACATCGAGCAAAAATAATGTCACCATTGTCGTCGTTGTGGTCAACTCGCAAACTTCACGCTCGAGTGAGTGGCAGGCCAGTAATTGCCTCCGGTGTCGGCCTTAGCCGACAGGCGGGAATTCCGCACTCCAACAAACAAGTTTTGCTGTTGCACACCACACTAGCCCTGCAGCCTATAACAGCTGCTGTGCACGATAGTGGCCTTATCCACATACGACATTATTGTACGAATGCGACAGTATGTACGAGGTAAGCGTGCACGGCACCACCGTTGAATAAGCAGTGTTCATGTAGGGTGATATAAAACAAGAGTGGGAGGGGGGGGTGTTGAAGCATGAACCAAACCATATTTTTCCCAAATGCCTTTTGAGTTTTTGCGGATCTCGGATTTGGGCAAGGGTTTTGATTGTCCTCCACTTCCATGCACCCATGCCTTTGCCTCTACGCCTTCGGTGAACCCGCACTCGCATGTTCACCGATTGTGCTCCTAGGGCATTCACATTTTCCCACACGTATTGCGTGTACGCGCACATCCAAACACATCTACGTACGAACATGATAAATTAAAGCGCGTCTTGGGATTTCTTCCTTCAACGATAGCCAGACAAAATATGGAGTCATTTGTTTTCACAAAAAGATTATTATTCCCCGTTTATGTTTCAAATGAATGTCTGCATTGCCGTAGGCGAGCGGTGAAAAAGTGATTAGCACGCTGGACTAGGCACCGCGCTGCTTGATCCCAGGCCACGGCTAACATCAGTGGTATTTGAGCCAGATTTCCCCCCCCCCACCACCGCTGGCCCCCTTCATCAAGTTGTACCGACTAGTATGGTGAAGCACGGTTAAACAACCCGCCAAGACCCACACGGCGTATGGGATCCCCCTAATCCAGCAGTGGAGTGAGACAGACAAAAGGGCTGCGCATGTACGTGACCGTTTCGTTGGCAAAAAATTGTAAGCTGTGATCACGTTGCTGGCATGAGCGACGCTTTGCATTAAGCAATTGCCATTGGCTACACTGAACAATGTATTGCAATACGGGCACTGCAAATCGGTTCAAGTGTGGTCTTCAAGGTTAGGCTACGTGGTAGAAAACCCTTGGATTGCTCCTGGTGGCTGTGTTGAATGGATATACCTCTCTGTGGAGGTTACAATCCAGCGAGATAAGACAACTGGAATGGTTCCTCTGCGAGGAGGACGAGGAGAGAAGGTACGCTCAATACGCGGCCTCACCCGCACGTCCACACTTGGATCACGAGCTGCTGTGAATAACCTACGTGTAAACAACTATCAATCCAGTTGCTGATATTGTGAATACCTTGTGGTATAGGGAATCGCTACATCTGTACATAAAAGTAACTAGCAAAACAAATCGCATTTATGTTGCGCCCCGTGACGTAAAACATGTATCGTAGCGCAGGTTTTTTTAGCCAAGGGGACGCCCCTAATGGCAGCTGTCCCTGTGCAGCACAAGGCGAACACAGAAGTTGGGAGGCGATGTTGCTATTGCTTTTTCCAATGAAGCGATAAGTGCAACGCACACACAGAGGTGTGAGACGAGCCCGGGTGACAGGAAAGGAGTCACAATCTCACCTGTGAAAGTGGGATTTGAAATTCACATGGCCGATATACACAATGGCGAGGAGCTTGCGACAGGCAGGCATTGGTAAATCTGCCGCCTGTGAAGGTGGATTGCACATTGACACCACCAAGAGGCAGGTGCAGAAGCATCCCCGCCGGGTGGCAGTCCCGAAACGTAAAAAAAGTAAAAACACTCAATGTATTCCACCGGGCAAATATCAATAAAACTTGTGTTTACTAAAGTTAAATCTGTTTTTCATCGGTGGTCACCGACACGCTGCGGCTTGTTACCACTCTTGAGGGGCTCTCAGGCAGTGTCAGTGGATCCACATGGAGGCGAGCAGTGCGAGACAGGCAGACAACAGGCAGACAACAGGCAGACGAGGAAGTGGGGGTTTCAATCTCTTGCCTGTGAACGCATCCTTCTCCCTGCTCTGGCACGCGAGGCGGAAGATGGCGGAGATGAGGTCCTCTGCGGCCGCGAGCGCCGCCCCGCCATGCCTGGCGCCGAAGAAGCTGCAGGCGACGTCGCACACGAGCGACACGCACGGTTCGGCGCGTGCCGGGGCGCCGTCCACGCCACAGCGCGGGAGCGCCGCGCGCATCGCCGACACCACGCGGCGCACGCACTCGGCGGGCAGGAGCGGCTCTGTGGGACACAAGGCGCGGTGGAGAGATGTTAACGACCTCGCCTTGTGTACGGGAGGTCGTGCGTTCGATCCCGACCCCCCCCCGACGCCTATTGGAGCTTGCGCGTCTCTCTCCCCGTGGTCGCGTGGATTCTTCTCCGGGTCCTCCGGAATTTTCCCTCCACATTTAGAAACGTGCGTATTAACATTCTTTGGCTGATATAAATGTACACGTTAAAAGCCACTTTGCTGAGGTATCATTCGTGGCCAGGTTGCTTCTGAAAGAGAGCTATATAGCTCAGTGGGCCTTACCTGGTAAAATTATAAATGAATCAGAGTTGAATAGTGTATAGTTGAAGACGCACGCATGGCGGACAGACCGACCTGAACGCACGCACGTGCACACGCACGTGCAGCTGTGTGCGAATACACACCGGGCTTCGTTTTCATGCAGGGATTTATTCCGGGTAACTGGTAGATGAGTAGCCACGGGCAGCTATTCAGAATCAGAATATTTATTTATGCTGCTGGAGGAATCCGATGAGCTAAAAGCTCTTTTGTCACAGATATCCAGTAGGGGCGGGTCAGAACGTTACAACAACAGCACAAAAACACGATGGGAGTGTAGAGTATAGAAAAGGTAAGTAAAATATATATACATATATATTGTATTCTACCCAGGTAAAACCCAATGAGCTATTAGCTTCTTTTACAGAAGCGATCTGGCTACAAATGACAGCTCAACGAAGTGGACATGCTGTTCAAGGGTGGAAATATTTTCTGGTTTTTCGACCCAGGTAGACCCAGCTGAAATTAAGCCACACGCACGCATAAACAAACACATACATTCACGGTATAATGAACACACGTGTATAAATACACACAGAGACGCATGTGACAATGAATCGCTTGCTGTCAATCTCCCGTGGAACAACAGCCTCGTCACGACGTGTCAATGACGAGTTGTTGAACCGTACTTCATCACACTGGTCAATGGTGGATGCCGAGGGCGGGGAGCACAGACACGGGAGCGTAGAAGTACAGTGGAGCAAAGGATTTTTCTGCGCTGCTCTCCGCTGTCCACAGCGGAGACTCGCAGCCAGCTATGACACCTGTGATGCATGGTGGTCACCCTGCTCAGCGCTATGGAGGCTCAAGCCAGCTTCGCTTCCCAGATCTGACGAGATGTGGCGCATTCTGTGCGATATGGTCGTAGGCTTCCTGTCACATGAAATAAAATATACTCAGTAAGCAACTGGCCAAGAGGAACGCTGCTGGAAAACGCACTGCAGAGTTGTGGCTTCCTGCTCTGTGAGAAGGCGCGCCTCCAACGGAGGCATCTGCTGTAACGCACAACTGATGATGACGGCCCGTCCCTCAGCCCGCCTGCCCGAGACGCGGCCTCTCTGGCGTTCAGCGGCAGGTGCCCGAGCGACGTGTGCCGACGCAGGCGGTGCTGGTCCGGCACGATCGTCGCATTCCAGCGCCGGGTCTGGCCCGTCCGAACAGCGCCCGGCGTGGAGGGGGGGGGGGGGGGGGGGAGGGTCGCGCGAACTCGCGACCCGAGGGGGCCCCGCAACTCCCGCCTCACGAGCGGCCACATCGAGAGCTCAGACGTGAACTCGGAAGGGGCCCGGCGCGCGATCCGTCTTGCAGACAGCCGCTTTGCCTTCGGGGACCGCTCGCGCAATAAATCACGGGACGTCAAGCCGCTTGTTTTCCCTGCCACGCTTCGCGCAGAACGCTAGAACGTTGCGTCGGTTTGCCCGACCTGAGCATTTGCACAGGAAGGCCGAGGGGAAGAAGCCGTACGAGGTGGTGTTTTTTCTTTCACTCGCTCGTTCTACTTCTCTCCTCGCAAGGGCTTCACGGTAAAAAAATATATATACGTAAGAAAAAAGTTTGCATCAACATCCCACACGTATTTATCAGGAGCATTTCACTGCAAAATGTCAACGTTGATTTTTTTTTTTTATCTTCAGGGGGTTCTGCGGCGGCTAAAATTCTTGACGAGGTGTGAATGGGTTTAGGAAATCCGTGTTGATTTGGTAAACTGGGTCACAGAGAAGACACGCAATAGTCCACCGCTGTAAGGAGTAGTGCAACTATTTTTCCAGTTTCATTTCATGTTCTTTTCACCAATTCTATCGTAACTGTTCCACGTTCAATCGCCATCCAGGCACACCGCAATGTAAGGCAGCAACGTCACAAATCACATCACACTTTGCTTCAGATCACGGAGGTCAGGACAGATCCTGGAGGTCGGATGTCGATTGAGCAGTAGCTGCGGATCTGGTGCAGGGTAGAACGCGTTGCCACTGAGGCGCGGTGGCATCAACGACTTTGGCCGTGATGACCTCTTGATCTTTGCTTCAACTTCTTCAATGGTTACATTTGATCACAAGCTCCACATCGTGCTCCCTGGATGTGGAGATGAGTAAGCGGGTAGGTTTGTACCTGTCGGCCAAAAAATAGTTTTTGCAGTGAAAAAGGGTCAAATTAAGTGCAAAACCAAATTGGGTCGAAGCCAGGATCTCAGCACTGCCAATTCCAGACGTATTCTTCTTGTGTGTGGCTTTTTATACAACTGATGAGTCCATCACGTGCAGGCCGTAAGCACAGCCTCGGGGGAAGCCGAGCGGAGGATGTCTTCACAACGCCCTCCGCTGACTTTAACCGCGGGTCGCGATGCGGTCCCCTACGGTCTCCCTACGGTCGTGGTCTGGATTTCCGCAGTCCCATGTCGCCGGGGCTTCTCTCTCTCTCTCTCCAACCGTCCGCTTTGAATACGCGGTGGTTGCCCCATCCGGCGTGGGTGCTACGGGTCGTTCGGTTCAAAGGCCGATGTACCACCTGGCCACGTCGGCGTCACCTTCCTGCTGCACTCGTGATGGCCTCGTCACTGGGAGGCATTTCCCTTTGCACGGCGCGGGCCAGTGAAACTCTCGAGCTTATTGTGACATTAAAAACCACATTCGTCAATAACACCACCTTATAACATAAACACAATATAACGTGATAATGTTTTGAAAAAGGACCATTGCCTGTAACATAGCCTTTAATACATACGTTTCTGTAATGAGGCGGCGTTTAACGCTTGGATTTGAAAGCGTACGCACGTGACAAGGAACCCAAAGCGGGCTTGGCAGGACGCGTCCCTAGAAGGGACACTGGGCGGTGGCCGAGCTTGTCGATGGAGTGGCAGCCGAAGGAGGGAAGGCGCCCGGACGTTCGTCCACCGCAGGGATGTACAGTGAGGGAAAAAAGTATTTGATCCCCTGCTGATTTTGTACGTTTGCCCATTGACAAAGAAATGATCAGTCTATAATTTGAATTGTAGGTTTATTTGAACAGTGAGAGACAGAATAACAACAAAAAAATCCAGAAAAACGCATGTCAAAAATTTTATAAATTGATTTGCATTTCAATGAGGGAAATAAGTATTTGACCCCCTCTCAATCAGAAAGATTTCTGGCTCCCAGGTATCTTTTATACAGGTAACGAGCTGAGATTAGGAGCACACTCTTAAAGGGAGTGCTCCTAATCTCAGCTTGTTACCTCTATAAAAGACACCTGTCCACAGAAACAATCAATCAATCAGATTCCAAACTCTCCACCATGGCCAAGACCAAAGAGCTCTCCAAGGATGTCAGGGACAAGATTGTAGACCTACACAAGGCTGGAATGGGCTACAAGACCATTGCCAAGCAGCTTGGTGAGAAGGTGACAACAGTTGGTGTCATTATTCGCAAATGGAAGAAACACAAAAGAACTGTCAATCTCCCTCGGCCTGGGGCTCCATGCAAGATCTCACCTCGTGGAGTTGCAATGATCATGAGAACCGTGAGAAATCAGCCCAGAACTACACGGGAGGATCTTGTCAATGATCTCAAGGCAGCTGGGACCATAGTCACCAAGAAAACAATTGTTAACACACTACGCCGTGAAGGACTGAAATCCTGCAGCGCCCACAAGGTCCCCCTGCTCAAGAAAGCACATATACATGCCCATCAGAAGTTTGCCAATGAACATCTGAATGATTCAGACGACAACTGGGTGAAAGTGTTGTGGTCAGATGATACCAAAATGGAGCTCTTTGGCATCAACTCAACTCGCCGTGTTTGGAGGAGGAGGAATGCTGCCTATGACCCCTAGAATACCATCCCCACTGTCAAACATGGAGGTGGAAACATTATGCTTTGGGGGTGTTTTTCTGCTAAGGGGACTGGACAACTTCACTACATCAAAGGGACGATTGACAGGGCCATGTACCGTCAAATCGTGGGTGAGAACCTCCTTCCCTCAGCCAGGGCATTGGAAATGGGTCGTGGATGGGTATTCCAGCATGACAATGACCCAAAACACACGGCCAAGGCAACAAAGGAGTGGCTCAAGAAGAAGCACATTAAGGTCCTGGGGTGGCCTAGCCAGTCACCAGACCTTAATCCCATAGAAAATCTGTGGAGGGAGCTGAAGGTTCGAGTTGCCAAACGTCAGCCTCGAAACCTTAATGACTTGGAGATGATCTGCAAAGAGGAGTGGGACAAAATCCCTCCTGAGATGTGAGCAAACCTGGTGGCCAACTACAAGAAACGTCTGACCTTCTGTGATTGCCAACAAGGGTTTTGCCACCAAGTACTAAGTCATGTTTTGCAGAGGGGTCAAATATTTATTTCCCTCATTAAAATGCAAATCAATTTATAACATTTTTGACATGCGTTGTTCTGGATTTTTTTGTTGTTATTCTGTCTCTCACTGTTCAAATAAACCTACCATTAAAATTATAGACTGATCATTTATTTGTCAGTGGGCAAACGTACAAAATCAGCAGGGGATCAAATACTTTTTTCCCTCACTGTACGCCTCGATATAAGGAACAAAACAGGTGGACTTCTCCATAAATCTGGCTGTCGCCTGATGAAGCTGGTTGTAATTACTGGCAAAACGTCGTACTCAGATTGTAAATGTTGTGGCTTGGCTCTCCAATACAACGGTGTGCTGTACTAGTGACGAATTGGCC